CCTCCCCAGCTGCCAGGGTTAGAGCTGGGCCAGGCACATGCCATGGACAGCAAAGGGGGGGGGGAATGGAGGGGTGGGAGAAAGGACCTGGACTGGCCCGGCTGCAGGCTGGCCTACCCTGCCAGCAGGGAGAGCCAGGGTTGCCAACACCCCCACGAGAGACGGGTTGGCATTCGCGGTGAGCAGGCCCCACAGCCCCCTAGTAAGCTTTAATTAAAGTTCAATCTTTAATGCCTGAAAACTCCAGGACAATCCCGGAAGGTTGGCAAGCTTAGTTTATAAAGGACCTGGACTGGCCCGGCTGCAGGCTGGCCTACCCTGCCAGCAGGGAGAGCCAGGGTTGCCAACACCCCCACGAGAGACGGGTTGGCATTCGCGGTGAGCAGGCCCCACAGCCCCCTAGTAAGCTTTAATTAAAGTTCAATCTTTAATGCCTGAAAACTCCAGGACAATCCCGGAAGGTTGGCAAGCTTAGTTTATAGGCAACTGGGTGTAAATTAGAGCAATCCTCAGGCGGTTCTAACGTCACTGGGACCCAAAGCAGCTTTGGGCCAGCCCAGCAAAGAGAACACACATAAGCAGCATAAATTAATCTTTGTCCTTTGTCCTTGTCTGCCATGTGCATGCTTTAATCCTGGCACTGGTGCAGGGATGCGTTGTGCCTACAGCATGCTGGAGCCCAGCAACATGTGCTGCAGGGGTAATAATGAACGTGTGTATTTCATCCCCAACAATAGCACTTTCTGATGATAATCCAGAGCATCCATTTTAACTGCTGATGAGATTCCCAGCATTCTAGTTTTGTGTTTACCATTCCCAGTAGTATCAGGAGTTTGCATAATGTCGACTTTGTGAAGAGAAATCGCTTGGCACTAATCCCAAGGGAAATCAGCATAATCAAAATGCAGTTACTTCAATACAAGTACAATACAAACAACAGCATGGCAATTATTGGCATGTGTTACCGAAAGCAAACATATGCAGTGCAAGCAGACGTCAAGCAGCTGTTTGTAATTTCAAACACCTAGATTGATTTATGCAGGTTGAAATGTCACACACTTGAGATAATAGCATGATTACAACTGTGGTGGAAAGGGAACCAGACCACATAATCATCCTCATAGCCAACAATAGAAATTCGGTGCGGGGGGATTTTTGTAAGTATTACGAGAAGTGCAGATTGACTGAATCTTCCATAATTCCCAGAAGCGCTATCTTTACACAGCAGTAACGCTAGGAGTAAAGTAAAATTACCAATGGTGGTTGTAGCAGGGCAGCACCCACAGTTACTGGGTTGATTTAGTCTCTCAGCAGCATTTCGAAATAGTATTTTTAAGCAACACATATAATGGCCAGTAATAGAGATGTAGCCGTGTTAGTCTGGGCTGGCTGAAACAAAAGACAGGGCTATGCAGCACTTTAAAGACTAACAAGATGGTTTATTAGGTGATGAGCTTTCGTGGGCCAGACCTACTTCCTCAGATCAAATTGTGGAAGAAAATTGGCATGACCATATATACCAAAGGGATACAATAAAAAAAAAGTGAACACATAAAATTGACAAATCAGATTTTAGAACAGAGGAGGGGGCCTTACGAATGGGCCTTAACAAATATGCTAATTATCTTATCCATTACAAAGATAGCTTCCCCAATTATCACCCCTAATATCATTATCTCATAGACACTAACCTCCCCCCTCAGTTCTAAAATCTGATTTGTCAATTTTATGTGTTCACTTTTTTTTTATTGTATCCCTTTGGTATATATGGTCATGCCAATTTTCTTCCACAATTTGATCTGAGGAAGTAGGTCTGGCCCACGAAAGCTCATCACCTAATAAACCATCTTGTTAGTCTTTAAAGTGCTGCATAGTCCTGTCTTTTGTTTCATATAATGGCCAGGCCTCATTCAGAACTGTAGAGTTAAGATGATATATTTACTACTCAAATAAATTCAGTTCACAAAAAGTACCACACGTGTAACTAGACAAGAGAGAGTTTGGGCCAGATCCAGAGCCTGTGGAAATCAATGGCAAACTTTTCCATTGATTACAGTGGGCTTTGAATCAGGCTCTTAAAGATGCCTACAGATTTATCACCGCACCTGTGGTATGGATAGAAATAGGCTCACTTCTCTCACTGGGACCACCCATGTTTACAGCTCTTACAGAGATAAGATAACTTTGTCCTGGCTGCAGCTGAATTAGAGCTTCACAGTTAGGAATTCCAACAATAGATCTGTTGAATATAAAGAAATGGAAAACTGTAACATGCAAAATAAAGGTATATTCTTGTCTGTAAACTGAGAGCAATTTATTTTACTCTTTTCATCTTAGTTGCCAGCACAGTGAACATGGGGGGATGCCTGTTTATTCAGATTTTAAAATTACTGCATGTCCGCCACATTTCAATCCCTTGTAATTTAAATTGCGCATAAAACATTTGTACAATCAAATTTACTAACATCACAGAACGTGAGGTCACCCTTATGTGGAAAGCAAATTTTTCAGTTTGCTTTCTGAATATATTCACACCAAAATATAATAGGAATAGAACTTATCCAATCAGGGAACATGCTCATCATTCTCCAACGCTTGTGCTATGCATCATCCACATGTGTATTTCAGGGTATATTGTCTAATCTTTTCAACCTACAAGTGCTTTGAAATATACAGCATGCCATATAACAAGGGGTCGTTTTGGATCCCCAGGCGGTGTGATAGAGGACTGACTCACTCTGTAATGATATCTCCATTCTCTCCATTTATTAGTTTGGACAATTCAACTGTGTAGGAGTCAACAGGATTCATGTTTCCAGATTCCCAACACACCAGTGCTGCATTTTCACAGCTTCGGCTTTCTTTTCTTTTAAGGATAGGAGGTGAAGGCGCTAAAATGCAGATAAAATAGAGTCTAAGCCATTTTGTTATGGGATTTGCTATTTGAAAATAACGCTCTTAGGTTGTTATTGTTGTTGAATTTCCATAGAACTGATGTGATATTAAACGGTAAAAGGAACTCATTCATGACTTCCCCAGTGAACAGAAAACTCTTGGGCTGATAAATGCTAGTGCTACTCAGATATGTTATTGAACTGTTAAAGTCATATAGCAACCACAAGGCAGTAGATCAGAAAGAAATGTGAATGCTCACTGTTCTTTTTCATGTCGGTTTATCCTGGCCATTGACGTTTATCTTCACTATATGGATTATTAATTTAAAACAGCTGAGCATCAGACAGCTATCCTGAGGTCCAAGGAGATCTGGCGAGAGGACTTCCTGCTCTAAATTGCTCTTCAGAAGTTAGATGCCAATGTGTTAGGAAAGAAAACAGCAAACCAGGGACTGTGCTTGATTCTAATGCATTTCAGATTTTGTGATGTGTTCTGTGGACGCTACTTAAATTGTCTCTCATCCAGAGATGGGCAACAACAAATAGTGGGTGGGTCGCATGAGCAGCAGCAGCCCGTGGCCCACTTGAGTTCCACCTGTGGCCCTGTGGCCCACTGGCTATCCTCCCACCCCGGGGGCTTCTCACGCACTGGGGTATCAGAGACCTGCACTTACCTGCTCCTCCCCCTGCCTCCCAAAGCTGGAATGCCATGAACAGCTGATTTGTGGCCTTCTAGCTCTGGGAGGGAGGGCGAGGAGTGGGGAGGGAGCACAAATCGGGTGATTCATGGCTCCACTGAAAATGCTGGGAGGGAGGGAAGGAGCAGGTATGTTCAGGTCTCTGATACCCCAGTGCGTGAGATGTTCAGGGATCTAGTGCACAAGGTATATGGGGAAGGGATGAAGTCAGGGGGTCCATGGGCCACATGTGGCCCACAAACTGCAGGTTGCCCACCACTACTCTAGTCTGACAGCACTGCCTGTTCAAAAGTGCTCTTTGCACTCACATTTACCAATACATTAACCCTGAGGATTCCTGAATGTTGGTGGAGTTTGGAGCCAAATCCAGCTATCATGACTGGCCCCCCTCACTCTACAATGGAACCAAATCCCTGGATCTGAACATACCAAAATATAGGGGATGCTGAGATCTGGATCGGAACCTTGCGACTCTGGCTGATCACTAATCAAAATCTAATTTACTGCCCTGCAATTACAAAGAGCTCACTGACGGACAAAATGGCAAAACCTGTGCAGAGAAAGTAGTATTGTCCATTATTTGGAGATGGAAACCAGCAGAGCTGCAGACATTCCAGTCCCAGCTTAGTCAAGACCTTGTTTTGTGTCCTGGAATAAGTCATTTAACCTCCATGCCTCAGTTTCCCATCTCTAAATGACCATAATGGGCCTCATGCCCTTTCTCTATTCTAATATAAATCAGGGTAACCCCACTGAAGTCAATGGAGTCATACCACACTAAATTCAAACTGATTCTGCTGGCTTGGTGCTTTAAGTATTATTATTATAAAGTCCAGAGAGTCATCATTATGATAAGTCACTTACTCATATTATAGTCATGAAAAACATTTACCTGTCACATAAACTGCTCGTTCGCTCACTGGACTGATGCCGGCGGCATTTAAAGCACTGACCCAAAATTCATATTGTGTATTAGGCACCAGGTTCATTACTGTGCAGTATGTTTCTTTCACTTTCAGCATCAGCTCTGAAATGAAAAAAACACCAGGTATCCATTCCACAGTTCCTTGGACATTCCACCTTCCAACTCACCATCCCAAGTGAAGGAGAACATTGCTTTTTGTTGCCTCTTGTGAGAGGAGTGTTGCATCATTCTTCTGTCTTGTTCGTTCAATTAGCTCTGAGATCACATTGCTCACTCAGTCACAGTACAGTTGCTGATACCTTAGTACCTTTAGATCCCCTAGTACTTCATCCATCATAAACGGGGACATAAATGCAATGAAGCATCCTCTTCTGTAGTATTAATACTACCCAAACAAAACAAAAATGAATGGCTACATCTTGGTCACCTGTCACTGGAGTTTCTTCAAAACGGATGCTGCATATTCCACAATTTATCCCAACAGCGGAAACATGCAAAGACCATTCAAAGATTGTTGTTTTCATTATTTGAATCTTATAAAGTTCATATGGGTTCTGCTTTCCTTTCTAACCAGCCCGTTCAGGCATGCTCAGGCCTCCATCTATGCTGGGAAATGGACTGGGCTCTGGAATTGTTTTCAACAGGAGCACATACAGATAGTATGAGCTAATGCCGTTTTGTAACTGGGGTGGCTGGCAGGTGGGGAGAGTTGCAGCCTATTATTGGCATTGAGCTACACTGCAAAGTGAATGTAGTTTTTAAGTTGGCACATAGATAATATAGTGATCTATGTTCTAAAATACCTCAAGGTAGATCAGCTACCCATCCCCAAGCAGTAGCAGCAGCAGGTACAAATGTATTCACTGAAGCCCTTTGTGAGACCAGTTTCAGGAGCCAGTTGCTTTCTGAACTGGAGCCTATGGGTGTCCCTGGATCTGTGCCTTCTTACCAGCTTGCTCCTCACTAGGTGTGTCGTCGCTGACTTGTTTGTAATACAGCTGGTAGAATTCGACGGTGTCGTCTGAGAACAGGCCCCAGCATATTCTCACGGAGGTGCCAGTTGCTGAGTTGGGAGCCTGGGGATTTATCACTGGAGCAGAAGGAGCTGAAATGAAGACAGATGTTTTTGTTTATGAACACACGTCAGCAAGGAGAGGAACAGACACCCTCTTTAATAGAGTATTACATGGCATGAGGGTACTTTCCCTCAGGGGAAGCATGGTTTGTTATCCCCAGTTGAGACAAAATACACAAAGGTATCTAGTGTAAACTGACAGTCCCATTTCAAACAGTGCTATAGTAATGTGGAAACCTTTCAGAGCACATCAGCAGGAGGCACATAGAGCTGTTAGAATACACAACATTTAGGCCATGTCTAGACTGCAAAGGTAAGTCGGAAAAAGATACAATTTGCAAAAATCCACAAAGATTTTTTGTGGTTGAAAGAGGCATTTCCCAAATTTGGCGTGTCTACACGGCACCAAATTTCAGAAAAACATGCTTTTTCGACACATCCCTTCTTCCTCGTAAAACAAGATTTACTGGGATGGCAAAAGAGCGTGTCCGCTTTTTCAAAATTTTTTCCAAAAAAGTGGACATGTTCCTTGGGTGCAGAATTGCTTTTCTGGGATGCCTCTGGTACCCCTATGCTACACATTACTGTACTTCATAGGCCACCCGCATATTAACACAGAGCCCTGTTTCCACCCTCATGCATGCTAGTGTGCATCATAAGTAACACCACTAAAATCAAGGGTCTAAAATGGGTAGGAACCAGATTTAGATCCCCTAGTACTTGATCCAAACTCAGCCACTACCTGGGATTTGCTTTCAGGCAACAAAAACATAAATCTCTCCTAAACTTGGTTGTCCCTAAGAGTTAGACTGAAAGCTGCTGGCCTAGTGCATATAGGTGACTTTGAATGAGGGAGGGAAAACTGGAAACTTCACAAGCTGCCCAGTTAACAGGATGAAGGATGCCGCAGCAGAGAAGTCTGTAGTGATCTGCACTATTGCCAACAACAGATAAAGCTTTTAGTTCCAGTATTAAGAAGCCACTGGTGATAATGCTGAATGCACAAACTTGAAGGAAGAACATGTCAAGCACTTGGCTTGCATAATGCTCAAGGGCAAACAAGTTACATAGCAAATATTTCATTGCACCAGTAAAACTTTTTAAAGGTGACCAGGAAAAAAGAAAAAAAGTATAATGCCTTTTCTGGGTCTTTGTGATATATAAAGGAGACCTGAAAGATCTTACTTTCTATGGGGATTTATCTCTCTCTCTCTCTATCTCTTTTTATTTTAATAATTAGAAAACCAAACTTTATGTACCCTCTTTTTCTTTGAGGACTCCAAGGATGACTGGAGAATTACAGAGTCCTATCAGGAGAGCAAGCAACTAAAATCTGATTAATTGAGAGAAGTAGTTCAGACTGTTTTAAACTTTGGGGTTTTGTTATTTATTAATCTCTATTTATACAATGGTCTAGAAGGAAAGACAAGCTTGTTATAAAGGACAGGTCTGAACCCACTTCTCTGAGTCTTCCAAAAAGTCACCCAGCAAACCTAGGGAAGACCACACTTGACAGTGTTGATAATTCCAAGATTTAAAAAAACCAGCAAAAAATCTATGGGTATGTCTAGACTAAATGGCTCCATCAACGGAGCCATGTAGATGAGTTTACTAGACATAAGAAAATGAAGCGGCAATTTAAATAATCACCACTTCATTTACAAAAAAATAGCCACCGCGCTGTGCTGATAAGCTGTTTGGTGGCACAGCGGGGCAGTTTGGATGCACCGCGGTCGACAAGGGAAGCTTTTGTCGACCGCTCCGGTAAACCTCATTTCACGAGGCATACCGAGCGGTTGACAAAGGCTTCCCTTGTCGACCGCAGGGCATCCAGACTGCCCTGCTGTGCTGCCAAACAACTGATCGGCACAGCGCAGCGGCCATTTTAATGTAAATGAAGCGGCGATTATTTAAATCGCCGCTTCATTTTCCTATGTCTAGTAAACTCATCTACATGGTTCCATTGACGGAGCCATGTACTCTAGACATACCCTATGAAAATAACTTCGAAGCTAATTTTATCTATCTACTATATATTATGGAAAGCTTTTGTCTGTCTGTCAGTCCATCTATTTGTACATCTGTTTGTTCAAGAACACCCCCTACAAAGTAAGAGCTAGAACCACCAATTTTGGTATACAGCTTCCTCTTTTCATAACTTAAAGGAGGATAAGAGTTTGGCTGTGCCAGGACAATGGGATGTGCCTGCAATCCAATTGTTTCTCATCAAATGGAAAGGGAGAGGGCCTGATATCAGGGACAGTTATACTCCAGAATGACCATGAAGGGGGGCAGCAAGCACAGCGGAACAGTTATATTCTAAAATGACCACAGGGGCATCAAGCATGCCATCCCCAAAGAGCCACCACTGCCTGGCTCCTATACCCCCCTACACCTCCAGCTCCCTGTCCTCAGCCCCCCACATCCCAAAGCCCTGCCCTGACTCCCGCATCACCCCAACCCCAGACCTCTGCCCTGAGCCCTCCTTAAGGACCTAGGCAATGCCAAGTCAATGGGCTAGTCATAAATATACAAGCAAAATATATAAGCAAACAACTTTGTGTCCTTGCAAGTTCCCTTTAAAAGAAATAACAGGCTTCCATTCACATGACACTAAACGTGAATTGTAAAAAGGATTGAAATGGTGGACAAATAAAACAAATACCTGACATGGTATTAATGGAATCCATTAGTTGCTGAATATCAGCGAAATCTATGACTCTGTCTCCAAAGTCTGGCAGTGCTGAAAGCTCTAAATCTATATCTTTTTTTAAGAACTCTCCCAGCCTGTAAGTGTAAAAGAGACTAATTCATATAAGACGACAGTACCATCCTCTCTAAGAGATCCTTCAGTGAATAACGACAGTGTTAATAAGAAGAGAGAACTCTTTATTTTATTATTCAATAGAAGCTGCATTTTCTGACATACTAAAAAGAGAGCAAAGTCCTTTCTTAAAACGTCTAGATAGTTGCACAAGACATATTTTGGCTTCCATTTGTCACTTAGCTTATATCATTTATTCAGAAATGTATTTCTGGGCATGCATAAGATTATTGCTCACATTTTCTTATATCCAAATTGGGCCAAATCTTGCCACTAGTCCTTCTAGTCCATCCCCTAATCATTCTTCGGCTTGCAGTGGTTTGACTGGCATGTAATTCTAAAGGAAGCACATTTTGCCTCCATAAACTGTCTTTGTGTTTATTATTCATAGTCCAGTAACAAAGTCAGGCCCCTTTGTACTAGGTGCTGCACAGTTATGAAAAAGAGGCTCTTTTTCTCCTACTTGTTTTTATGATGAATTGAAGTGAACTAAATGTACATTTTGCAATTGATTTGTCACATCCCAGGGCTCTTTCCTGACCATTACTACATTTCATGCTATCAGTTTTGAGGACCCTCAGCTGCATTTAGTAAATCTCCTTATTGCTGTATGTATAAGCTTGTTACTAAGCTATGTATTTAGAAAGCCCAGCTGCAGCGGATTTTGCATCCAAAGCATTTCTTTAAGATTTTGAAAGCAATCCTGTTTTTCAGTCATTCCAATCATTTTTCTATCACTAAACCCAGGTGACATTGGTTTAGTTATGCTCTGTCTCTTAGATCTGTGCTTATTAAATTAGTTCTGAATCAGTTTCAAGCTGTTGAACTTGTTTCGGAGACTTTTCCAGTTCAAGTTTAAATTAGAATGATGAAAGATTTCAAGAGTTCTAACTCCTAACTTCAGTAATCTTTGGTGTGCCCCTATCAAAATCGTCACAAAATTAGTAAATACTTGAGAACACAGCATGCTCACGATTAGCATTTCAGATTATTTTGGATGTGTGAAAAGCAAAATAAAATATTATTGACATTACCTGTCCACCACAGGTACTGCAGCCTGCAAAAAAAAAAAAAAAAAAAGAGAGAGAGAGCAAATAAGATAGAAAATCTTCCATTTATGCAGCACAATCAGGGCCGAATTAAGAGCTTTAGCGGCCCAAAGCACTGAAAAGATGGTGTCCCCCCATAATTAATTCAAAATAAAAACAATACTATACCGTAAAATAAAATTTTATTTTTTGAAATGACACAAAACTTACATGTATGCTGAAATTAAAATAGCTTCTTTCTAGATTGTCTGATTGCAAAATTCTGGCTAAGTTCATCGAAGCTGACTCGACAAAGCATGTCCGCTTCCATACACAATAGGGAAAATGAATCAAGTATGTCCTGACACATTGTTGTTCTCTGAGGGTTTTTTATTCTTTTCAGCTGAGAAAAAGAGCGTTCTGCGGAGTTCTGATTTTTCCCATGATGACTACTTTGATGCTTTTTTTGGAATTATCAAATATCAAATTTTTTGATAAGCACGTGCTTAGTCTGCCTATTGGGTAACCCAGCCCTGAGCACAATTTAGCTTATTAATCCAAATGCACACTATGCAATACCACACATGTGAGCAAAAATGAAGCTCTGGCTTTCTCTTATTTTCAGAAGTTTCAGGGAGTAGCTGAGTTAGTCTGTACAGGATAAGCTTAAATAACAACAAATGGTCTGGTAGCACTTTCTAGACTAACAAAACATGTAGATGGTATCATGAGCTTTCATGGATAAAGCCCACTTCTTCAGAAGACCAGAGTTTTGAGTTTAGGATGTGCAGGCCCAAAATAAATAGGGGAGAAGGGAGGGAGAGGGGGAGAAGGAAAAAAAAGGAGGGGGACGGGAAACATGGAGCAGAGGGTATGGAAATATCAAAGGGAAAAACAAGAAGGCAGAACTGGGAATCAGTAAGCACCTGAAGATTGGGTAGTTAAAACAAAGCAGATAAGAATCAAAGGAAATGCCAAACTGCTCCGGACTATTTCCAATGAGGCACCTGAAAAGGGGAATGTCATGAAAAGAGCTCAATAGACCAGACCAAAATGATCAAAGTAGAAGGGATCCATGAGTTGCACTTCAAGTGATACATGAGTGTTTGTTATGTTTTGTAATGTCCAGCTCAGACATAGCTGCAGCTATGCTATGGAATTGCCCCCTCTCCCAGTGGACCTCCACCCACCAATCATGGGACAGCTCAGGTAAGAGTGATCACTCACTGACTCTGAGAATGCCTGATATCTTCCCAGGGGAAGGCACCTGTCAAAGAAAAATATTTCTCTGAAGTTGCTTCAATGTCAGGTTTCATTAATGATTTTGCAGCTGTCCCTAATGGATGGAGGTGGGGCCAGCTGTTTAACTGCATATTTGAACTTCCTGGAAAAATGAGCAAAACAGAGCAAAGGGAGACAACGTCCTGGTGCAGCAATTGTATTAATCTGCCTGCAGACTAGAACATGAACACGAAGATTGTATGAGCCAATAAACACCACCAAGCCCTTCAAAACTTTCCCAAGTGGTTAGACCTGGGGAACAAACAGTATTTTCTCCAAGTCAGAATGACATGTGTGACTCATGAAGTTTACCAGGGACAAACCTCTGCTGATGTGATGCTAGTAATGTTGAACTGACGGTGATAGAGTCTCAGAGGGGTAGCCAAGTTAGAGACTAACCAGACTGAGTCAGTGCCATGTACACAGCACCTAGAGCACTAACATCAGGGCTGTCCTTAGGATGTATGGGGTCCTTCGCAGACCTATTTAACTGGTGACCCTATGCCCTATGGCAGCTGGGGGGCAGTGATGTTTTTTTAGAGAGATGATTTTATAATCTATAGCAACAACCTAATGAAATATTTTTAAAACAAATTTTACACTTGGGTCCTGTAGGCTAACACAGTAAATTCAGAGACTGACAGGCTGTGTCTAGACTGGCAAGTTTTGATTTTGTGGAAAAACTTGCCAGCTGTCTACACTGGCCGCTTTAATTTCCACAAGAACACTGACGATCTCATGTAAGATCGTCAGTGTTCTTGCGGCAATACTGTGCTGCTCCCGTTCGGGCAAAAGCCCTCTTGCTCAAAACATTTGTGCAAGAGGGCCAGTGTAGACAGCACAGTACAGTTTTGCGCAAAAAAGCCCTGATGACTAAAATGGCGACTGGGGCTTTTTTGCGCAAAACCGCATCTAGATTGGCCACAGACACTTTTCCACAAAAAGTGCTTTTGCGGAAAAGCATCCTGCCAATCTAGACGTGATTTTCCGAAAATGCTTTTAACAGAAAACTTTTCCGTTAAAAGCATTTCTGGAAAATCATGCCAGTGTAGACGTAGCCACAGTGATTAGCACTTGAATGACTCTTTCACAGGTTCGATGTTCTGTTAATAGGTCTGGCTGGCTTTTTCATTTTTAAGTTAACTAAATACTCTCTGGAGGAAGCAGAGCCACAGAACAGAGATAGGAAGAGGCAGGGGGTGGACATTAAGGCCCAGAAATGCCTCAAATTTACAGGTGCCCTATGCAACCGTGTATTCAGCATATGGGTTTGGATGGCTCTGACTGGCATCATCATAAATTTGGCAAGTGGAAATTAAGTCACTCATTATCTTAATGCCAGATCCTTCTACTCTTAACTGGGCAGCCTTGTGAGGAAATGGATCATCCCTGAGGGGTCTTCTCAATGTAATTTCTTTACCTCTATGAAATCAGCTTTCTCCTTGTCTTTGTACACTTCCTGGATTGTTTCCATCAGCTCCTTACAGATGTCCAGATTTTCTCCGCAACTGACCAATTGCCCATACAGGGCTTCCAGCTTCTGTTTCTTCTCTTCCCCAAGGGCTTCTACCTTTTCTTCATATCTCTGAGCTAGGGTTTGCATGACTTCATCATAATGCATCTCGAAGTTCTGCTCTTGCCGCCCAAAATTTTCCTGGAAGGCATTTGGGTTTTATTTTATTCATCTAAGGCCTGAGCCAAAGCCCACTGAGGTCAGTAGGAAGGAAAAATCATACTGATACCAAATCAATGTGAAACAATTATGTTACATATAGTTACTAGCCTCAGCAATATTATCATTAGCTTATAAATCAGGATCATATTTTATAACTGCTATTGATGAAGCCCCCAATGAAGGCACTGGGAATGCTAGACAATCATTCTAGATATCATACAAACATAGTAAAGTGCAATACAAGCAATAACATGATGAATTAATCCTGCCTCTCAACTAAAAACTAGAAACACAAATAGATGCACATTCCTGTTATAAGAATTGGCTGATTCCACCTATATATTGCACTGGGGAAACCATCGCACCCCACTGGGGATTCATCGCATTCACTCTAGGGGAGATGAGCAGCTAGTACTGACATCTTCACCCTCCCTAATGAGGAGGTTCATTAGGAGTGTAGATATAAGTGGAAATCTGGTCTTCCTTGCCAGCAGCTTTTCACTTTTTCAATGTTTCCACTGCCTGGCTGTAGCCACCCTCAGTTATGTCATAGAATCATAGAATCATAGAATCATAGAATCATAGAATCATAGAATCATAGAATCATAGAATCATAGAATCATAGAATCATAGAATCATAGAATCATAGAATCATAGAATCATAGAATCATAGAATCATAGAATCATAGAATCATAGAATCATAGAATAATAGGACTGGAAGGGACCTCGAGAGGTCATCGAGTCCAGCCCCCCGCCCTCAAGGCAGGACCAAGCTCCGTCTACACCATCCTTTTAGATATTTGAAAACCGCTATCATGTCCCCCCTTAATCTTCTTTTTTCCAAACTAAACAAGCCCAGTTCATGAAGCCTGGCTTCATAGGTCATGTTCTCTAAACCTTTAATCATTCTTGTTGCTCTTCTCTGTACCCTTTCCAATTTCTCCACATCTTTCTTGAAATGTGGCGCCCAGAACTGGACACAGTACTCCAGCTGAGGCCTAACTAGTGCAGAGTAGAGCGGCAGAATGACTTCACGAGTTTTGCTTACAACACACCTGTTGATACAACCTAGAATCATATTTGCTTTTTTTGCAACAGCATCACACTGTTGACTCATATTCAACTTGTGGTCCACTATGACCCCTAGATCCCTTTCCGCCATGCTCCTTCCTAGACAGTCGCTTCCCATCTTGTATGTATGGAACTGATTGTTCCTTCCTAAGTGGAGCACTTTGCATTTCTCTTTATTAAACCTCATCCTGTTTACCTCTGACCATTTCTCTAACTTGCTAAGGTCATTTTGAATTATGTCCCTATCCTCCAAAGAAGTTGCAACCCCACCCAGTTTGGTATCATCTGCAAACTTAATAAGCGTACTCTCTATCCCAATATCTACATCATTGATGAAGATATTGAACAGTACGGGTCCCAAAACAGACCCTTGAGGAACTCCACTTGTTATCCCTTTCCAGCAGGATTTAGAACCGTTAACAACAACTCTCTGACTATGGTTATCCAGCCAATTATGCACCCATCTTATTGTGGCCCTATCTAAGTTATATTTGCCTAGTTTATCAATAAGAATATCATGCGAGACCGTATCAAATGCCTTACTAAAGTCTAGGTATATGACATCCACCGCTTCTCCCTTATCCACAAGGCTCGTTATCTTATCAAAGAAAGGTATCAGATTAGTTTGGCATGACTTGTTCTTCATAAACCCATGCTGGCTATTCCCTATCACTTTATTACCTTCCAAGTGTTTGCATATGATTTCCTTAATTACCTGCTCCATTATCTTCCCTGGGACAGACGTTAAACTGACCGGTCTGTAGTTTCCTGGGTTGTTCTTATTCCTCTTTTTATAGATGGGCACAATATTTGCCCTTTTCCAGTCTTCTGGAATCTCCCCTGTCTGCCATGATTTTTCAAAAATCATAGCTAAAGGCTCAGATACCTCCTCTATCAGCTCCTTGAGTATCCTGGGATGCATCTCATCAGGACCTGGTGACTTGCTGTCATGCTACTGCAACCTCCTGCCAATGAGATTTTCCACCACTGGGGCCAGGTACCTTTGGATGAGCTGGAATAAGCTAAGAGCGAATCTACAGTGTCATGTTACATTTTGCTCAAGGTAGCCAGGGCCTCTATTTCTGTGTTTGCTCACCCACGAAACACTGCAGTCTTGTCAAAGCAGCTGTGTACTCAGCTGGTCCCACATTGCTCTTAACCAAAGAGTAAATTGCTTACCTCTACAGTGCTGAAAATTTCCTCCAAGTGACTGGCAAAGTTTTCCATTTGAGTAATCTGTTCTTCTAATTTACACATGCTTTTATGAATCTCCTCCTACCAAAGAGAGCATTACTATTAATAGGCTCATGTGCTATTTAACAGATACACAGAATAATGGAAGAGTCCCCTTGGATTATTCTTACCTTTGCACTTGTCACTGCATTGGCAAGCTGGGTCACCTCATGGTCCTTATGAGCACCAAACAACTTGTCAAATGCTCTAATGGGAAACTTGCAGGTAGCACAATAAATATCAGCATCTTCCTCTTCACTGTTTGGCTGAATACTCTGATCATCTTGCTCACCAGAACTCCTGAGCTCTTCTTTGGAACATGCCTGATTCAGCAACTCATCAGCTGCTGTGGTGTTGGGTAAGTGCTGAGATTCATCTTGAGAATCCTCACCAGGGAGCGTCTGTTCCTCTGGGCTTTGCATGTGATTTTGAGGCTGAGCGCCATTTACTGGTGAGCTGCTCTGTTCCTCTGGGCTTTGTGTGTGATTGTGAGGCTGAGTGCCATTTACTGGTGAGCTGCTCTGTTCCTCTGGGCTTTGCGTGTGATTTTGAAGCTGAGCACCATTTACTGGTGAGCTGCTCTGTTCCTCTGGGCTTTGCGTGTGATTTTGAGGCTGAGCACTGTTTACTGGTGAGCTGCTCTCCGGGGCATATGATTCTGCAGCTACTGCTTCCTTGTTATAAGAAGATGTCTCTTTGCTCTGTAAAATCCCAGCCATAGCTTTAGTCCCACGAAGAAGCTCCTGTTCTATTTCTGTATCGTCATCAAGTCCATATAGTTTTGCTAGTTCATCAACTTCCTTTTCCAAGTCATATGGATTAGGGTCTGAACTGCAAAAATCTTCACCTGGCTCTGTTGACTCTTTGCTGGTTTCTCCCAAATCCCCATTGCCTCTTCCAACAGGCTCATCAGGAAAGATTTCTAATCTTTCCTTTGATTCATAGAGATCCATGTGATAAAATGTAAAGCCTTCAGGCTCATATCCACTAGATTCTGGAACCATTATAGAAGCTGATGGATCAGTCACTGGACCTAAAGCGTCTGTATCACTACTTAAAAGAAATTCACTCTCCATTGCAGTGGTAGGGCTAGATGGCAGCAGGTCTGTATCCCTCGTAAGGCCTTCTATATGTGCAGTGGAAATGTGTCTTAGTCCATCAGAATAAAAAGAAAAGAATTAGTCCTGTGTTTGTTTTACAATGCGCAGACAGAAGAGCTTGTGTTTAGGACTGCTGGGGATCTGGGGTTAGGCCCTGCCTGGAAAATACCAGTTAGTAAATGGATTTTCCAACAGGACTTTTTACTTTTATTCTTGGATCCGCCATAGCTGATCCAAAGCTCACCTAAGGCCTGTTGTGTGCATGGGGACAGAAAGATAGAAACAGAGAAATATGTTCTGCAGAAGTGGCTAGTGGAAACCAGAGTTTCCAACAGAACAAGGGGAAGAGCAGCCTAGTCAAGGTGACATACGGGAGTGACACAAAATGAACATCTTAAAAAGCAGATTGTCGTCTCCTTCTGTTATTATATTGGCTAATGGTGGCAATGTGTCAATCACCAGGTGGGGCCAAATACCAGGGACTAAACTAGGGAACTTCCAGAGCTAAAAGTATAACTCTGCAGTTCATGCTAATGAACCAAGGTCTCACACAGAGATGCTGGGCAGACTTCTTACATTTTAGCAACTAAATGCTCTGAAGCTTCCATTGACTCTGGTCATGCTGAGGATGCAGGATTTCCCTGCAATTGCAGCTCTCTGTCCCAGAACTGAGTGCAGGGAGGGAGCCTGTCTCTCCTTGCTCTTGGTGACGCCTATGCTGGGCCCAGGCAGCCCAAAGGAGAAAACTGCCAGAATCAAATGCAGAGGGCAAAAGATGGGAGGGATAGACTGTGTCCAGATGAGGTACCTGGTGGAGACTGTGACTAGCTAGACAAGAAGACTAAGACTGAGAATTAGTGGGACAAGGGGAAAGAAGTGAAGGGGAAGGAGAGGCAGACCCAGTAAGGAGCCAGGGATTGAATGGGCAAAGAAACTGGGAGAAAGAGCTTGAGTGACACACTGAGATTGAACAAGGAGCCTGGAGATTAACCTTGGACCTGGCAGCCAATGCAGCTAAAGATTCTGAGCAGGTGTGGGATGCCTGGAGGCCAGGGGGGTGAAGAGAGAGAGATTGTATGAAGAACCAGGAGGGAATATCTGGGACTGGAATGGGAAGCCTGAGGAGGAGAACTATCTAAGTGGGGGAAAGAGAGGCCTGGGACAAAGACATACTGGAGGAGACTAGGTAGAAAGGGGTTGTGTTTGGAGGGAAAGGGTGCCCACCAGAGCATACTACCCTCAGGAGTCTTTAATGGAACCTAAAATTCCTGCATCTTCCCATCTCTCTGCGGTCAGCAAAGAGCGTCTCTTAGTGCTGGTCCACCCAGACCAGGGGTGAGCAAGATACCTCTTGCAGGCCGAATCTAGCCCACCAAGCCACCAGATCCGGTCCGTGGCCACACACCACCCTGTCGGGACCCTCAGGCACACAGCAGCCATTGTTTTAAGCACAGGGCTGCTCTATGTGACTCTCTGCTCTGGAGGGAGGGGAAAGCTTCATGTGATCTCCTCACTCTTGGCCCAGTCTTCATCTCCTCTTGGCTGGAAACAACCAGCCAATAGGAACTGACCTCAGCCAATCTCTCAACGCCTATTGGCTCGAAAAAACAACCAATAGGATCTGAGAGATTGGCCTGGGGGAGGGGGGCAGCACAAGCCTCTCCCCTCTCCCAGGGTATGTCTAGATTACAAGTCTCTTTTGAAGGAACTTGTCTAGACAGCCACAAGGGCTTTGAAAAAGTGATCCACTTGTTCAAAAGAGAGCACCCAGGCAATCTGGATACGCTCTTTCAAAAAAACCCTGTTTGCATTCAAGAATGCCTTTTTTTGAAAGAGCTCTTTCAAAAAAAGGTGTTCTTCCTGGTAAAAGTAGGTGTACCAATTTCAAAAAAACTGCCGCGTTCTTTTGATTTAATTTCAAAAGTACGCGACGGCAGTCTAGATACAGGTGAAGTTTGTTTGAAAAAAGGCCACTTTTTTCAAAAAAACTCAGTAGTCTAGACACACCTCCAGAGCTGAGAGCCATATGGAGGGAGCAACCTGCAGTTTTAAGCAATCTGGGGCACAGTAGGCAGAGAGCCTACTGGGGGTGGTGCAGGGCTGCTGGCCAGGCGACATTTAGAGTTCCAGCCAAAGCCTGACTCTGGCATCTGTGCCTCTCCTGCACCCCACTCCCTCCCCCAGTCACCATCCAAACCCTCTGCAATCCCTGCCCCAAGTCACAACCCCCTCCCAAACCCTGTACCCCCTGTTATACCCCGTCCCCCAGGCCAGAATCCTCTCCTGCACCCAAACACCCTCCTAGACCCTGCACCCCAATCCCCTGATCCAGGTCACTCCCCCCTCCACCCAAACTCCCCCTCAGACCTCGCTGCAACTCCTGCCCCCCAGCTCCTTACCCCAGGCACCCTCTGCACCCAGCCTCCATCCTAGAGCCCACACCTCCTCCACAGAAAAGTGCAGCCCTTGACCACATTGCAAAATCTTGGAGTGGCCCCCCATCAAAAATTATTGCCCAACCCTGTTCCACACCCAAACTCAGGATGAAGGTCTCATGTTGGTGTCCTAAATATTTCCCTATCTAGGGACAGACATGACCAAATAAGTACTACAGAGAGCCCAGTCTGCACAGGCTCTCTCTACCTGTTTTTTTTAAAGTCATAAACTTCTAGTAACGATCACACAGATGGGAATGTGAAAGAATGTAGTAAGGCCTACCACAGGCGGCTCTTACTGCATTTAAAAGGCTGAGCCGCAGCAGAGTAGGTCCGGGATCCAACGCGAGCCGGGACTCAGCAGTTCTAGCTCACACCAGGTCTGGGACCTACCCAGGAGCGGCCCGAGGCCGGCAGCAGCAGCTGGTGCCCCAGGCAGAATGCGTGATCGGCACCCCCTCCTGCATGGCCATCAATGGTGTGATATCATCATCGGGTGCTCCGGGCGCCCTGTGACGTCATCATCAGGCGCCCCAGGCGCCCCATTAAAGCCAGCGCCCTAGGCAACCGCCGAGTCTGCCTATACTCATGCGCTGCCCCTGGACCTATCCCCACTGCAGCTTTGTAGTGTAAATGTACTAGGAGCCAGGCTGCCTGTGTGCACGGCTCCTACTACGTTTCAACTACAGAGCTGCAGCAGGGCCTTTTATCGACTAACTGTGTACTCAATACAAGTTGTATTAAATACACAATTAGTTAATTACCCACTTCTTAACATCCTTAGTTACAACTCCCTCCTTCACCCGAACTCCCTCTCAGACCTCACACTGTCTCCTGCACCCCATTCCCTTACCCCGGGTACCCTTCTGCACCCAACCTTCATCCTAGACCCTGCATCCCCTCTACAGAAAAGTGCGGCCCTTGACCAGTTTCCAAAATCTTGGAGTGGCCCCGCACCAAAAATTATTTCCCACTCTGACTCAGAGGCTTTTCAATGCTTGGCTTTACAACCTTAATAATGTTATTTTAAAATAGGGTTTTTTGGGAGGAGGGGGAATTGCATGTAATTTAAGCATAATTTTCTCAATACATATGTATAGATTCCTATGTGTGTATCTAACTACTCTCTGTATATTCATGTACAGGCATGGAGACTCCCAATTACTGAAGCTGGAATGTACAGTACATATATTTCATCATGGCATAAATGCATGAAGTTTTACTGAAGAAATGAACTCTACCTCACTCACTCCTGAGTTTTGCAAAAGTCCGCTCACCTTTTATTGAACAGTCCCTACTCTCAGCCCTTCTAGCAAGCCAATTAATGCCAGAATAAGAATTTATGTTAATATTCAGCGAACATTTGGTGTGCACTGTCAGACTGGAAAATTCAGTATGATACCATACAGCTTATCAGCGCTAATGAGATCATGCCTATTGAGTGCATAACTACTTTTGGTTTTATATCCAAAATTTTATTACTATGGTTGAAGGGGTCATAGAAGTACTTCAAGTATTAGTTCAAGTATTTCAATTGTGTGTTAATGAACATACATCATAGTTATAGTCTCTATTTAGTCACATTTTAAGGCTTCTAAATGACAATGTGGGTTTCTTTCTCTCACAGAATCAAAACTGTCGGTCATCACTAAGCATATTGAAGCCATTTTAGACGTTGTAACCATTGGTGTGGTTTCCAAATTGCCATTTAAAGCTCTTGCTGTTTCTGTTAGTTCCTATCCGGTCACATTTTTTCTGTGATTTTATTGATTTCCTGGCAGTTAATTGTTAAGCTAACAACATTGTATTAAGAATATTTTCTCATTTTTTTACCCTTTCAAACGTATCAGGAACAAACAGCCAATTTCCAGCAAGATGATAGGCTCACTGGCCTCTTGGTTTAACAGACATCAAATAGAGGTGAACTGCAAGAAATTTTGTGAAAAACATTCCATCCTCCAGAGTTATATTTGTGTAACTGAGAACTCAGTCTAGCCTTCTGCTTTTACACACAAACACACAGTCACTGAAAATATGAAAGTGGAATTTAGACTTAACACATTTTGCTGTACCTAAAAATATTGATAAAAGGCAGAAAATATATATGCCACAGGCAATAAAATATATCATGTTTATATCCCGAGTGTCATGAAATATTAAAACATTAAACAGGACAATAGTCTTGAAACATATTGAAAAAAAGTCTAACTCTTTCATAATTTAACAACCAAAAATTCTGTTTTACACACTATAAATTATCTGCTACTAAATCAAAAAATGAAATATCAAGTATTTTGCCTAGAATATTGTAATTCAATTACAGAAATTAAAACAAGTATAATTAAATGTGTTTGGAACACTCCTGCCAAAAAAAGAGTCGGGATTATGTGGTATGTTTAATTTACAAACATAGATACAATTATAATGCAGTATGTCTTGAGCCCTTGAGGTTCAATAATCCAAAACACATAAAATCAACTCATACTGCCTAAAAACTTGCCTTATCTTAAGAATCCATACATTCTTCTTATAACCCAGATGAACCAAACTTTACATCTATTTTTCCTAGCACAAATGAATTCACATGAAGGTAATTCCCTGCCAGTTTCCTGTGACTGCAGCTGGAAAACTTATTAAAGTAATTCTAGACAGTTTCTCAAATGACATGTCAGCTGTGAGCAAGAATGACAAATATAGATCTGTCCTTCAGCTTCACACTACTTAAGTGTCACCAGGATGAATGTCATACACTGAAAAAAATGACTCCAAAAGTTTGTGGGGTTCCCAGGCTTGATGTATTTTAAACAGACATGGAATGCCCCCTTAAAAACAGAGAACTCTGTGCAGATATTATTAAAAGCATCTGATGTATCCATCAGCGAATCTAAATATGATGTTTTGCAAGGTTGTGAGTCAAGAATAAGCAACATTTTTTGTACCTTATGTAGGGAGCATAGTCCCTCTCTCTCTTTCTCTCTCTGCCTCTCCCTCTCCCTCTCTGTGACAGGCAGGTATGCACTGACCTAGTTAAGTTTAAATATCTGTTATCTTCTTTATAAAAGTTTAAATGGCACAACCCTGCTCCCACTTCAGTCAGTAGAATTACTGCCATTTATTTCAATGGAAGGCAAGATCAGACTCTAGAAAGCATTATGGTAAAAGTAATTAACTTGTATCTATATTTTTAATTGCAATAATTTATATAAATATCAATATATACAACTTCAGACTACCTGGGGGCTGAAAATAATAGAAAAAACAGCTGCTAGCTAGGTAAATGCACTGCTCATCTGATTAAAGAATGGCCCCCATATTATTAATAATAATTATAAGAAATTATTTAGATTGCAGTAGCCCTTGTGATGTATGAGTCCACACACAAATCCACTGAAATTGAAATATGTAATACTCTGTAGCTTGCAAACAAGCCACAGAATGAGCATTAACTGCAGGTCTTGAATGCCATTCAAATTATTCACCTGTTTCCTTTCTTTAACTGGCATAGTTTTGTGCTTAAAAGGACAATGAAGTTATTGCAGCTTCATAAATATCTGTTGTGTTTCACTGACCATGCAGTCCCACAACGGAAAATTCTGTACCTTGTGTTATTTTTTAGTTTCCTCCTTTCTTTTTCTCGCTCCTGCTGTGATCCTCCCAAGTAATGAATTATGAACTAACTGCTAGTGTGTCCACGCTCATTCTGCATAGTCCTCTGGCATTTCCTCTTATTGTTTAAGTCAGAGAGGAAGTACTTCCAAATGAATGATGCAGCCAACCTCAGTATTTTGTCTAAGAGTGTCTGTATTCATTTTCAAATTAGAAGCAAATGTTGCTGTTATCTTGCTGCAAATCTGCAATGATCTCCTTAAGGTGCCCTGATGCAAAGCTGGCATACATGGCACATGCCCTTATTTTGTAAGGCCACAACAGACTATTGGGTGAAATTCACTGTTGTACGGTGCCTGAAGCAGGGTTCTGGACCACCTAAGTCAGGGGTCTCCAAACTTTTTAAGCATAAGATCACTTTTTGAATTTAAGTGCAATTCAAGATCTACCTCAAACCCAAACACCCTTGCCCCGCCTCCTTTGTGCTCCTTGCCCCGCTCTCCCTGAGGCCTCACCCCTGCTCACTCCATCCTCCCTCCCCCATCCTCATTCACTTGTACCAGGCCAGGCTAGAGGGTTGGGGTACAGGTTCTGGTCTTGGGTTACGGGATTTGGAGCTTG